AGTCCTCGTTGTATGTTGGCGCCATTTACCCTCGTTAAATGATTTGTATTCCGCGCCAAAACCATAGGGTGCTTGCCTTATTTGGCTCAAACATATTCATATTTAGCTAATATTACGATCCGTTAATATTTGACTTTTGAGTCTGTTATACGTTCGCTGTCAGTATAAGAATTGCTGTGGGTTCCTGTGGTTGTTAATCCCTACGGCTTATAACACCCCAAAACCACAACCTAGTGATTATTTCAGCGGGAGATCCCGTACAAAAAAAAGGCCTCTCCGGCTCCTAATGGAAGGAAGGACGGACGGACGGAATGGAACGTGCGTACGCGCGGGAACCCTGTGTCGGTCCATGGAAAATCGACTCGATGGTATACCATTTTTTCTTAGCTATGGTGCTCCGCTCGCGCGGGCCTTAGGCCCTCGCGGGAGCTCCGCTATTAATTTGTTTATAGGAAATGCATGAAAGAAAGGCAACATAAGATAACATCAGCTGTTACAAGAAATACTTCAATTATTTACATCTAGCAAACAGATAAATTATATAATACTGTCATATTACAGTGCAAACATTTCACTTAGTACCCCTCAATTGAAATAAAATAATGTATTTGGTGGTTTTGAATTTATAATGAACTGATCAAAATAATCAACGTATAAAAATTCTTTGACTGCGTTCACTGACTGTTGTGGCTTGCTCTTCATAGCCCCAGATTGTCGGGATCGAACCCTTTTCCAATCTATGTCTTTAATATCCCCATCAAAGTAAAAAGCCCGAGAGAAACAGCCAATCTTAAAGACTTTCGACTCCTTCGATCAAACACGAAAGAAGCCATTGAAATTGGCGCGGTGCAATCGCACATTAATCGTTTCAACCTCTCCAAATCAGACTTGTTACTCGGTGATTTGTGCACTGATAGTCCTGTCTCGAGATTGATTATGTTTCTGCAGCCAAAAAATAAACAACGCCGCAACATTTTAACGTTAAAGTCTTATTTCTAGTAAGTATTTGCCTCATTAATTTGCGATGTTTTGGAGCTATGACGTCACTGGCCCAACTAGACCCCATTCTCCTGAGCCAAATCGATGAAGAGAGAAAATAATGGCGGACGAAAACTAAATCGAAAATATGTCATACTTCCATTGAAATATCGAAATGAAACTTTGCAGAGTGATTTCTTGTTTATTTATCTTTCTGTTGAGAAAGTTAATCAGCGGATATAGGACGTAATATTACAGGTTTTTCAAAAACGAGCATATATACGTCCAAGTACCAATTTAATTTTTTTGACTATTAAACAAGAATATTTGACGTTATTTGACCGTTTTAAGATCCATTTCTATTAGACGGACATTTCTACTACTTGTGGGCACTTTTTTCGTTTCTCAAGGGTGTCCGCTTACGGAAGATTCAACTGTATAGTCAAGTGGCTGCACTAGGTATTCGGCATAGGTTTTCTGAAAGTATTTTGGCGCGACAAGCAATTCTGACAGAACGAGGAGTGATTTGCGAGAAGGTTTTCGGAGAATACAATGTGTGCAACTTTAAGTAATTTCAAGTAAGGTAGTGAGGGTACATTAGAAAACACAACTTGTGAAATACCTTGCTAAATACTCATCCAAATGAGCTGAAACCAACATCAAACTTCAAACTTAGTTTAAGCGAATGCATCCCGTAAAATAATAACAGACAACACAATAAAAACATGGTAAGTACCATGGCTATTAAACTAATGAAAAAATGTCATGGCGTATGTGACACGTACACTGTAAATGCGGATTGGTTAAAACAAACAATTCGAATTGGTTAAATTTTATAATGGTTAAATATTGCTACCAAATTCAAAGTGGTTGTTATAATAATGGTTTAAATATTTTATATTGGCTTTATATTGGTTAAAACTACCAATTTTTATTGGGTTAAAAACACCAATTATGAGTTGGTCACCTCAGATTCAAACACCAACCAATTTTTGGTTGTTTAACCAATCCGCATTTACAGTGGTACGCATGCCTAAAATGGGTTAAGACCTACCCTCTTTGTTATACTTGAAAATAACAATAGCAATACAATGAGTGTATGAGCAGCATGTACATGAGCAGTTCCTGTTTATCAATCGTCAATTCTTGTTTTCCAGTTTGTTTAAAGTTTGTCAGTAGTCCTCAAGATCCCCTGGTCTTTTTGTCTGGTAAAAACACTACAAATGTCGTCATGAGGTGGACATTTACACTGGAGAGTGGAGAGTTAAACAGCCTCTTGTCCTTGGAACGACTCAAATCCTCAGATGACTCTACACCAACTCCAATCTTTTACTATAACTTTAGAACAGGTGACATTTTTAATTCTACTTTGTACATGGCAAGTAAAAAGTTTGATGATGGACCATCTTCTGGATCATTCAACTTCACTATCAAGGACATGCTGAATCAGATAAACAACAAGGATGGAAGTCTGTATAATCCAATTTCTACAGACTACCAGTACAGATTAACAGTTGCTGTTAATGTTAAGGATGTTATACTGCCAGTAACTATCAAAAGTACAGTGGAATCTGTTGTTTATGGTAAGCCATGGTAATGTAATGGTAATGGTAAATTAGGTTCTAAGGGACTGTGCAATAATTACCAGCAGGAGGGGGGCATAAAACCAGATGGGGGGCATTACATAAAATTGATGGCGAAATAGAAGGGCTCAAAGTAAAATTACCTAATTAACATAGAGGGGGACCTTATAAGTTTTATACAAAATTTTGGCATAATTTTCGATGTCTCTCAAAACGCTGGAAATCGCATTTCCAAGAGTTATTTATTTCAAAATTTTCTGGGGGAGGTCCAGACTCCCTAAATTCTCCCGCCTTTGGCGGTCGTTAGACCCTCAGATCCAAAATATGTGTCGCGGTCCCTGACATGTGCATAAAAAGTCCACGCTTCGCGCCTGACTAATGGAAATCTAAATTCAAAGACTCGTTGATGTGGAATTGACATTGACCAAGGTATGAGTTTTTTTTTAAACTATTGATTTTTTCAATTTTGTCACATAAATTGAGGATCTATTTTCCACATAAATTGAAGATGTAGAAGCTGAAAAACATCTTTTTGATTTATTAGACATAACAAGCTCAAATAAGATCAAAGTCTTTTTTGACCATTAAAACGTTACATAAGCCTTTTTTGGACCTTGAAATCCTTTGCTAGGAACAAAATTATTTGAAAGAAGGAAGGGCGCCACATTTGCTTGTGAGATTTTCAACAACGTAGCCAATGTAAAATCTCTTTAATTTACCAAGGAACAAATTCATACAAGGACAGTTATTTAGCAGTTAACAGACCCCGTCAGCTCTTCACCTGAAAAGTTTTTGCCTTTACACTTAGATCTTAGTAAGCCACCTCTTGCATCTAGGTTCGTCTTTAGTGATTTTTGCGTTGCTACAGTTGACTCGACTCGCTTGTGCTTGTTTTATAACTAAAGTTAATAGTTGGGGAGGGGGGGTCGACGTTATTTTTAATATAGCAGAGGGGGTAAGAGCTATTTTCTTATGCTTCGGAACGGGGGTTCTGACTGATTTTCTGCTTATAAGAAATCTCAGTGGTTTTACGGCCCCCGCTCCTGGTCTCCAAAAACGATTTTCTAAGGAGAACCATTTTAACATTATTACATGACATTAGATGATGGAATTCGTTACCAACCGGCAAAAGCGTTGTTCGTATGGAATTTCATTATATCTACCCAACTCTACGGGTAGTTTGTCTGCAGAAACTCTAAGTTTCTTATTTGTTTAAAGGTATGACTTGCGTATATAAGTTATTTTTGGTTATTTTTGGTCTACTCATTGTAAAGAGTCAACAAAGCACTGAATATCAAAAGAAAATGCTATAATAAGCTTTCCTTGGAAATATATAATATATAATGTGTCTCCTCGTGTTTTGCCCTCTCGGCCAAAACTCTTCGGGGACAATAAAAAATATTAGCAATTCGACATCGAGGGCGAGTTGAGTGAGTTGACTACTTAACAATTAGATCTCGAGGTCGAGTGGACTACGAGCTAATAGCCCATGAGGCCGAGTCCGCGAGGCCGAATGGGCTATTAGCTCGTAGTCCACTCGACCTTGAGGTCTAATTGTTAATTAGTATAAACATATTAATCGGTCAAATAATGAAAACAAATTGAAATATCCTTAAAATAATTTTCCCGCGAGTGGTCTATCACAAATTAGACCATTAGTAGAGTAGCCAATCACAGCAAAGTATGAGTGATAGACCATTAGTATGTTTATACTAATTGCTGATAGCCTATACTAGCTGAGCAAAAAAAAATGAATGAAATATATAAAAAAACAAAATGTTTTTATTGCTAAAAATTCGCACTTGCGACTTTACACCTTTTGCTGTTCACTAGCGTAAAAAGTAATAATAATAATTCTAAAAGGCTTATATAGTT